AACTCTCAAGAAAAACAGAGAGTTAGAGCAGAAGAAGCCAATGGAAATCAAATCCTGTGAAGATGAATCTCTCTCTCAATAGCCATCTTGTTTTTGTGGCCCATACCAGCCTGCTAGCATCACTGCACTGGTTTCAAATACAGACTTTACCTTTCCAATCTCAGTTGCCATGGGCAACCCCTAAACTATGAAGCATCTCTCCAGTTCTTCTACTACAAGTCTAAAACATAAAACATGAACTACAATGAAAATTCCTTGTTACACTAATACCTACATTTACTAGTTTTTCATGGACAGTTGCCCTGGCACGGTGAGGGACTTGGGCACCATTTAAATCCAAAATCTCTGAAGACATAAGACCCACAAAAATCAAGGGGGGTGGTCTATATAGTATAGACATAGCACTACATATAACCCCCACCTTGAGCTTCGGAAGTCCAGAGGATGGCTGATGCTAATGTCAAAAGCAAAAAGTCAGTTTAAATTGGACATCTTGAAAGGCACCCATTGATCCACCACTAAGATGACATATGAGCCATACTTACCTCATGTATCATTCATATTCTCAGTCACCTTTAGAGACTCTAACATATTTCTCTTTGCCATGGATGGTTTCCTGGTGTCGTGGGAAGAACTTGGGCACACTTTAAGTTTCATATATCCGAGGAGATAAAATTCAGGAAAATCAAGGGAAGAGTTGCACATAGAGTAGATATACAGTAGAACTATATGCAACTCTTACCTTGAGCTCCAGGAATCCAGTGGAGGACTTGTGCTACTGTCTGGATAGCAGAGTGAGAAAAGTCCATTCAAAGTTGTGCATCTTAAAATGTTCTTCCAAGACAAAGGTTAATCAGATATTTAAGTGGTGGTATAGCAAAAGCAAATGTAAATGCACCACCTATTACAGCATGCCCATTACTAATGTACTAACAGTTGTTTTCTTACTAACAACCTTTTTTAGGTAGATTTCAATGCATGGTTTCATTGGAACAGCAGGACTTGGACCCACTGGAGCTTTGATATCTCCAAACCTAAATCATATACTGTATACAGCTATGTAAATACTTGCATTAACAGCTATCTTCTGTTTTTTCCAAGAACAACTAGCTAACATTATTGTAATTATTAATGTTAGCTTATTGTATACTGTTCTTAAAAACAGGAAATTAAAGTGGTTCTAAAGGCTGAAAGTTCTTTGCTGCATTAAGGTATTAAGCCTGTGTGCAGCCCCCTCTAGAACCATTATACTTACCTGAGCCAGATCTCAATCCAGCATTGTGCTCGAGAGCAGCGGCTCTCTCCATCATAATCCTTATTAACAACTTAATTTGTAAACTCGCCATTGCTATTGCAACCCCTAGACTGTGAACTTTCCACAGCCAGTCCCAAATATGATCTGCAACAAAGCTTCATTTGTGCACCAATACCTACTTTTACCAATTTGCCATGGACATGACATGGTGAGAGGGCCTTGGGCACCCTTTAACCTTCATAACATTTAAGATATAGGACCTGCAAAAATCAAGGTAGGCATTTGATATAGAGTAGATGCAGAACTAGATGTACCCCCACTTTGAGCTTTGGAAATCCAGACAACAGTAAGACAAATGACAGGGGAAGATTCCTGACAAAGCTTTAGAACCTGATATCTTCTAAGACAAAAGGTCACCAAAACTTGAAGAGGTGGTACAGCTAGAGTAGAAGTAGACCTAAATGCACCGCAAGTTATGGAATGCCCATTGCAACTAACATTCTTTTTCATACTAAGTGCCTTTTTTCTTTTCAATGCATGGTTCCTTTCAGACGAGGCCCTGGACCCATGGGAACGCCGACATCTCCTATCCTAAATTATATATACAGCTCTGTAAATGCTTGTTGCAGCAGCTATCTGTATTTCTCTCTTTCAGTAACCATCTCCTGTTAATATGTTAATAGCAACAAGCTAGCACTGTGTAATTGCATTGCTGTCATACCTAGGCTTTAAAAACCTATATTTGCAAACTCACCGTTACCATGGGCAACCCCTAAACTGTGATTTACTTCTCAAATTCTTTTGCTACAAGTCCAAAACATGCTGTGCAGTGACAATTCATTGATGCATCAATGCCTGTTCTTACCAGATATCCATGGACAGTCTACTGATGATCATGATGGAAGGGGCTTGGACACCCTTTAATTACCATATTCCTGAAGACATAAGATCGCTGAAAATCAAAGGAGGAATTGCATATAGAGTAGATTTAGAGTTAGATGTACCCCATACCTTGAGCTCCGGGAGTCCAAAGAATAGCTGGTGTTACAGTTAGGAAAGAAAAAAGAGAAAAGTCAGTTTAAAGAAGTACATGTTCAAATGTTCATAAACAAGTGGGAGCTTCCTGACAAAGCCTTGAACTCCGATATCTTTTAAGACCTAAAAACACCACCAGTAGAGTTAGTTGGAATTATTGCACTGTTTTCAAACCTAGACTTTAAAATCTACATTTTCAAACTTACCATTGTGATTCACAATCACTAAACTGAACTTTTGCTCCAGTTCTTCTGCTGCCAGACCAAAACATGCTCTCCAACAAAACCTCATTAGTGCACACATGCCTGCTTCCACCAGGTTTCCATAGACAGTATATAAGCTATGATGGGAGAGACCAGGGTAGTCTTTAAATCCCATATCACTAAAGATATAAGACCCCTGAAAATCAAGACAGACACAGAATATAGTGAAAAAACTAAATGCAAAATCCACCTCGAGCTCTGAGAGTCCAGTGGACAGCTACTGTCAGGAGAGAAAAGTGAGAAAAGTCAATTTAAAGCAGAAAACTGGAATATTCATGAATAAGGGAAAGCTCCCTGAAAAAACCTTGGAATTTTGATATCTTCTAAGATAAGAGGGTAAACAAAACTTGAAGTGGTGGTATAGCTAGAGTTGATATAGACCACAATGCACCACCATGGGAGCATGCCCATTACAGTGAACCATAATTTTCACCATGGTGAAAGGGACTTCCACCTTCCTTTAAACCCCATATTTCTGAAGACATAAGACCCATGAAAATCAAGGACAGTGTTTCATATAGAGTATAAGTAGTCATAGATGTAACCCTGACCTTGAGATCCGGGAGTCCATAAACTGCCTACTAATTGCCTTTTTTGGCAGATTTCAATGCATGGTTCCTTTGTAACAGAAGGATCTGGCCCTCATGGAACACTAATATCTCCTAACCTATATGTTCTATACAGCTCTGTAAATGCTCGTTTTAATACCTAAAGTACCTGTATCTCTTTCCTTCTCAATAACATTCTCTCTTTTTTTTAAACAACTAGTTAGCATTATTGCACTGTTTCAAACACAGACTATTAAATCTGCCTTTGTAAACTTACCATTGCTATTGGCAATCCCTAAACTGTGAACTTTCTCATCAGTTCTTCAACTACCTGTCCCAAAAATGATTCACCCTCTTTATTTGTCCTGTTTACCGTCATCATCGAAAGCAAAAACAAAACAAGATGCCATATTTTGGGATGTCCTCAGAAAAGTAATAGTGGGGACATTTTCCAAAGGGGACACTAGATCTGGTAACCTGGGGAAGCCATAAGGAATTTCCTTAATATGCTGGTATTTCCTCTCACTTTTTGTTTGGGCTATTGGACAGTAAGTGAGGGAAAATCCCTCAAACAGGACATAGATAGGGGGCTATAACCCTCCCTTACTCTTTCCAAAATGAAAAAAGGGTTTGCTTAGTTATACTTTAAGTGGTGGTATAGCTAGGGTAGATGTAGACCTGTTAGGAATGGACTTGCCAGTAGTGGTGGGACTCACCTGCCTGGTGGGCTGCAGTACCAGGGCTGGCCAGCGGGTGCTGCCAGCAATCAGAGACTCAACCCTGCAGCCAGCCAAACACCTGAAACTGCTTAGGCAGGTGTATTTAAGTGATGGCCAGACCTGCAGTCTTTGCCTTGGTGTGTGTGTTTTTCCTGGGCCCTGTATCTTGTAATCCTGCATTCTTGTTCCTGTGTTCCTGCTAGTACGTTTCCTTGTTGCCAAACTCTGCCTGTTCTGATTACGCTGTCCCTCTCCTGCTCTGACCCCGGCTCGTTCCTGACCATCCCTCTGCCTGACCCTCTGTACCACGCTGCCCGCTACCTGCTGAACCTGGCTTGTGACCCCGACCATTCTCCGCTTGCTCCCCCTGTACCTACCTGCCCGATTGTTAATGACCCGGCCTGCCTGACGACGCTTGCATTGTATGTACTGTTATCTGTGGGTGGTTTGGTTTGGTTTGTTTGCACTGTGTTATGTTTTAGTATTGCACTGCGTTTATGTTTGTATTGTTAGTGTTAATAAATTATATTGTTTATATCATATCTGAAGCCTGCGTTTCCCTGCGTCAGTCACATACCTCTGGTCATACCCGGGAGCCCTGACATTACACCAAGGCCAATCCTGACCAGAAGTGGCTGCACAGGGAAGCCATCTTGGCTTGTTGCTGGGAAGGATGGATCTTGATGAGGTTGTGTATTTGTCGCTGCTGGTTTTTGATGACAGAGAATATGCTTATCAGGCTCTGAAGGAGTATCCCCGGGATGAACTGCTAGAATGTATACGGCTCGCTCATGTTCTAGTAGATCAGGGCACAGAATTCTCTGAGGTGCAGCCATTGATTCAGGTTTGTGTAGAGTTGGCTTCATCTGGTACCCCTGAAAGCAGGAATGACTTTTTGCCGCCATTTAGTGCCGACCAGGTAGAGTCCCTGGTGTGGTTATTAGAGGATGATGTGGATTGCTTCTTGGAGCATTATGCTGCATGTTCACCACAGATACGAAGAGATTGTATAAACGCAGTGCAGTCTTTGGTCAGACAGGCTTTGTGTAAGCTCAGCTTTGTTCAACCCATACTGCAGACATGGACATATTTGTTGCACCCAGCCTCAGTCAGCTTACAAAAACCCAGTCCTGCTTCTAATCTATTTCCTCAAAGCTCTATTCCTGCATTCCCAACAGCTCCTCCTGCCCTGCTATCTACCGCATGTCAGTACCCTGTTCCCACTCGCTGCACCTATCCTGCCTTTAACCCTGTAAAGAAGTCCTCTGTAGCAACTGTTCCCTCCTCTGTTCCATCCTCCAGTTCTTCTCTGTCTCCAGCTGCTCCATTCGTTTGCAGACCTGCGTTTACTTGCAGTGCTCCAGTAGTTAAAACCAGAAAAAGCGAAAATTCTTTCCAACCAATACCATCCTGCCAGTATCCAAACCGGTGAGCCTGCCGTCTGAGAACCGGCCTTCCGTGGTTCAGCCTGGTGCCTCGGCACCCGCACTTCAACCTGATGTCTGTACCCGGCCTGAAGCCTCCACCCGGCCTGAAGCCTCCACCCGGCCTGAAGCCTCCATTCAGCATGATGTTTCTACCCAGCCTGATGAACTGATCCAGCCTGAGGATCCTATTAGGCCAGTTGACTCAATGCCCGCTGTTGATCCAGACGATCCGGTACCTGATGACACGGTGCCTGCTGTCATACCTGGTGGCCCGCTGTCGAGCCAGACAATCCAATGCCTGATGACCCAGTGCCCGCGGTCATACCTGGTGATCCGATGCCCGCTGTCGAGCCAGACGATCCAGCGCCAGATGAACCGGTGCCCGCTGTCGTGCTAATTGACTCAGAGCCCACTGTCATGCCTGGTGACTCGGTGCCCACTGCCTTGCCAGATGACGCGGTGCCCGCTGGCGAGCCAAATGACCTGATGCCTGGTGACCCAGTGCCCGCTGTCATACCTGGTGACCCGATGCCCGCTGTCGAGCCAGACAATCCAATGTCTGACCCAGTGCCCGCGGTCATGCCAGTTGACTCGGAGCCCACTGTCGTGCCTGGGGGCCCGGCGCCCGCCGCTCCGCCTGGGGGCCCGGCGCCCGCCGCTCCGCCTGGGGGCCCGGCGCCCGCCGCCCCGCCTGGGGGGCCTGGCGCCTGTCGCCCCGCCTGGTGATCCGATGTGCCTCTGCCCGGAGTCCTGCCCGGTGTGCCGCTGCCCGGTGTGCCGCTGCCCGGAGTCCTGCCCGATGTGCCAGTCTTTGATATCCCGCCAGTTACCAGACCCGGGCGGTGGAACATTTTGCCCAGCTAGGACTGTTTGGAGCGTCCTGAGGCCGCTCCTTGAGGGGGGGGGTACTGTTAGGAATGGACTTGCCAGTAATGGTGGGACTCACCTGCCATGTGGGCTGCAGTACCAGGCTGGCCAGCGGGTGCTCCCAGCAATCAGAGACTCAACCCTGCAGTCAGCCAAACACCTGAAACTGCTTATGCAGGTGTATTTAAGTGATGGCCAGACCTGCAGTCTTTGCCTTGGTGTGTGTGTTTTTCCTGGGCCCTGTATCTTGTAATCCTGCATTCTTGTTCCTGTTCCTGTGTTCCTGCTAGTACGTTTCCTTGTTGCCAAACTCTGCCTGTTCTGATTATGCTGACCCTCTCCTGCTCTGACCCCGGCTCGTTCCTGACCATCCCTCTGTCTGACCCTCTGTACCACGCTGCCTGCTACCTGCTGAACCTGGCTTGTGACCCCGACCATTCTCCGCTTGCTCCCCCTGTACCTACCTGCCCGATTGATATTGACCCGGCCTGCCTGACGACGCTTGCATTGTATGTACTGTTATCTGTGGGTGGTTTGGTTTGTTTGCACTGTGTTATGTTTTAGTATTGCACTGCGTTTATGTTTGTATTGTTAGTGTTAATAAATTATATTGTTTATAACATATCTGAAGTCTGCGTTTCCCTGCGTCAGTCACATACCTCTGGTCATACCCGGGAGCCCTGACAAGACCTAAATGTACCACCAGTTAGAGCATGCCCATTATAGCTAACATTTACTTGCATACTAATTGTCATTTCTGGCAGTTTTCAAAGCAGAACAGGGAGACTTGGACCAACTGGAATTATGTTATCTCCAGACGTAAGTGATATATACAGCACTGTAAATGCTCATTTTAAAACCCCAACTTTAAAATCTACATTTGCAAACTCATCGTTCCTATGGGCAATTCCTAAACTGTGAACTTTCTCTCCTGCTCTTCCACTATCAGCCCCAAATATGCAGAATGGCAGAATCAACTGATCTCAACCCAATTGAGCATGCATTTCACTTGCTGAAGGCAAAACTAAAGGCAGAAAGACCCACAAAGAACAACTGAAGACAGTTGCAGTTAGAGCCTGGCAGAGCATCAGAAAGGAGGAAACCCATTCTTTGGTAATGTCCATGGGTTCCAAACTTCAGGCAAAGCATCAGAAAGGAGGAAACCCATTCTATGGTAATGTCCATGGGTTCCAGACTTCACGCAAAGCATCAGAAAGGAGGAAACCCATTCTTTGGTAATCTCCATGGGTTCCAAACTTCAGGCAAAGCATCAGAAAGGAGGAAACCCATTCTTTGGTAATGTCCATGGGTTCCAGACTTCAGGCAAAGCATTGGAAAGGAGGAAAGCCAGTCTTTGGTAATGTCCATGGGTTCCAGACTTCAGGCAGTCATTGCCAGTAAAGGATTCTCAACAAAATATTACAAATGAACATTTTATTTATGATTATATTCATTTGTCCAATTACATTTGAGCCCCTGAAAATGGAGGAACTGTGTATAAAAATGGTTGCAGTTCCTAAAATTTGTACTTTATATATTTACGTTCAACCCTTTGAATTAAAGCTGAAAGTCTGCACTTTAAATTCATTTGGATTGTTTTGTCTTAAATTATTCTGGTGGCATACAGAGCCAAAAGTATGACAATTGTGCCTGTGTCTAAATACAGTCAGGTCCATAAATATTGGGACATCAACACAATTCTAACATTTTTGGCTCTATACACCACCACAATGGATTTGAAATGAAACGAACAAGATGTGCTTTAACTGCAGACTGTCCGCTTTAATTTGAGGGTATTTACATCCAAATCAGGTGAACGGTGTAGGAATTACAACAGTTTGCATATGTGCCTCCCACTTGTTAAGGGACCAAAAGTAATGGGACAATTGGCTTCTCAGCTGTTCCATGGCCAGGTGTGTGTTATTCCCTCATTATCCCAATTACAAGGAGCAGATAAAAGGTCCAGAGTTCATTTAAAGTGTGCTATTTGCATTTGGAATCTGTTGCTGTCAACTCTCAAGATGAGATCCAAAGAGCTGTCACTATCAGTGAAGCAAGCCATCATTAGGCTGAAAAAACAAAACAAACAAGCCCATCAGAGAGATAGCAAAAACATTAGGCGTGGCAAAACAACTGTTTGGAACATTCTTAAAAAGAAGGAACGCACCGGTGGGCTCAGCAACACCAAAAGACCTGGAAGACCACGGAAAACAACTGTGGTGCATGACCGAAGAATTCTTTCCCTGGTGAAGAAAACACCCTTCACAACAGTTGGCCAGATCAAGAACACTCTCCAGGAGGTAGGTGTATGTGTGTCAAAGTCAACAATCAAGAGAAGACTTCACCAGAGTGAATACAGAGGGTTCACCACAAGATGTAAACCATTGGTGAGCCTCAAAAACCAGAAGGCCAGATTACAGTTTGCCAAACGACATCTAAAAAAGCCTTCACAGTTCTGGAACAACATCCTATGGACAGATGAGACCGAGATCAACTTGTACCAGAGTGATGGGAAGAGAAGAGTATGGAGAAGGAAAGGAACTGCTCATGATCCTAAGCATACCACCTCATCAGTGAAGCATGGTGGTGGTAGTGTCATGGCGTGGGCATGTATGGCTGCCAACGGAACTGGTTCTCTTGTATTTATTGATGATGTGACTGCTGACAAAAGCAGCAGGATGAATTGTGAAGTGTTTCGGGAATATTATCTGCTCATATTCAGCCAAATGCTTCACAACTCATTGGACGCTTCACAGTGCAGATGGACAATGACCCAAAGCAGACTGCAAAAGCAACCAAAGAGTTTTTTAATGGAAAGAAGTGGAATGTTATGCAATGGCCAAGTCAATCACCTGACCTGAATCCGATTGAGCATGCATTTCACTTGCTGAAGACAAAACTGAAGGGAAAATGCCCCAAGAACAAGCAGGAACTGAAGACAGTTGCAGTAGAGGCCTGGCAGAGCATCACCAGGGATGAAACCCAGCGTCTGGTGATGTCTATGCGTTCCAGACTTCAGGCTGTAATTGACTGCAAAGGATTTGCAACCAAGTATTAAAAAGTGAAAGTTTGATTATGATTTTCTGTCCCATTACTTTTGGTCCCTTAACAAGTGGGAGGCACATATGCAAACTGTTGTAATTTCTACACCGTTCACCTGATTTGGATGTAAATACCCTCAAATTAAAGCTGACAGTCTGCAGTTAAAGCACATCTTGTTCGTTTCATTTCAAATCCATTGTGGTGGTGTATAGAGCCACAAATGTTAGAATTGTGTTGATGTCCCAATATTTATGGACCTGACTGTATATATGGAGCTAACTGTAGATCTAAACGCACTACTGATTAAAGCATGCCCATTACAACTAGCCTTCATTTGCCTACTTATTGTCTTTTTTGGGAGTTTTCAATACATAGTGTATTCCATGGGTCCCCTGGAACTCAAGTATCTCCAAACCTAAATGATATATACTGCTCTGTAAATTCTCGTTTTTACATATCTCTCTCTCTCTCCTTCAACCAGATAGCATTATTGTACTGATTTCAAACCTTGACGTTAAACCTACATTTGTAAACTCACCATTGCTATGGGCAATCCCTAAGCTGTGAACCTTCTCCCCAAATCATTTACTACCATTCCCAAACATGCTCTCCAACGAGACTTCATTTATACACCAATGCTTTCTTTTAGAGACTTCAGCACACTTTAAACCCCACATCTCTGAAGACATAAAACCCATGAAAATCAAGGTAGGTGATACGTATAGATTAGATATAGAACTAGATGTAATCTCCACCTTGAGCCCCAGGAGTCCAGAAGAAAGCTGTTGCTACTTTTAGAAAAGTCTGTTCATGTACAGTTTCTCCACCATGGCTAAAGCAACTTCAATACTCTTTAAACCCCATATCTCTGAAGACAAAAAAAAACCCATGAAAATCAAGGTGGGAAATCCATATAGAGTAGATATAGAACTACATGTAACTCCCTCCTTGAGCTTCAGGAGTCCAGAAGATAGCTAGTGCTACTGTTAGAAGAGAAAGAGGTAGATGGTATCTTCAGCATGGTGAGAGGGACTTCCGCCACTTTTAAACCTCATAGTTCTGAAAACATATGGTTCATGAAAATCAAGGTAAGTGGGTCATATACATTAAATATAGAAATAGCTGTAACCCCCACCCTGGGATCCAAGAGTTCAGAATGCTGGTGATACTTTTAGAAAAGTCCATTTATGATCCGTTTGTCCAGCATGGTGAGAGAGACTTCAGCCACCTTTAAATCTAGTATCCCTGAAGGCAAAAGACCCATGAAAATCAAGGTATACGGTCAATATAGCTAAGACATAGCACTAGATTTTACCTTCACCTTGAGCTCCAGGAGTCCAGAAGAGACCTGGTGCTACTTTTAGAAGGGAAAGGTCTGTTCATGGATGGTTATTCCAGAATGGTGAGAGAGACATCGGAAAACTTTAAACCCCATGTTCAATTCTGAGCATGTCCATGGAATAGCTGGAGCTCCCTGGCAAAGCTTTGACCCTGGATATCTTTTAAAACAAAGGGTCATCTAAATTTGAAGTGTTGGCATAGCTAGAAAAACCCCCCCCCCCCCCCCCCCCCCCCCCCCCCCCCCCCCCCCCCCCCCCCCCCCCCCCCCCCCCCCCCAAAGTAAATGTAGACCTAAATGCACCACCAGTTACAGCATGCCCATTACAACTAACATTCATTTAATTACAGTAAGTCCCCTACGTACGAATGAGTTACGTTGAGCTCGTTTGTAAGTCCATCTTGTTTGTAAGTCCAACAAAGATATAGTACTCTGTAAATGCTCATTAGAACAGCTAGCTGTAGCTCTCTCAACCTTCTCTTGCTTTTATTCCATAACAAATAGCTAGCATTATTGCACTGCTATCAAACCAAGACTAAAAATTTGCAAACTTGCGATTGCAATGTGTAGTCCCTAA